TGGATGGACAAAAAGATGAATAGGCTGAGTGGATTGGGATGAATAGATGATAGGATATATGGGTGGATGAGGATGGATGGATAGATGGAAGGAGGGAAGGATGGATGGACAGATGGGTCTGAATGTATGTTAATCAGACATCGCGTCAACAAAGGTCTCGTGATGCATTGCTTCTCTCTGACTGCCAGCTATCACACAGATACAGTAAGGATGATTGTTATACACAGTATCTATCGAGCCAGAACCGCATACCCCCAGTATAAACAAATACTTGCCAACTCGTTAACCAAAACGAGTTATGTACACTGTATATGGGGAGTGCGCTCAAACACTATCGCGAAATAATTCCCCATAAGACAGTGCATCCATATGTAATGGGGATGGATGAATGAAAGTATATACAAATATGGGAGAGAGGGGAAGGGAAGAGAGGGAGAGAAGAAGGGAAGAGGGGGAAAGGAGAAGAGAAGAGAGATTAATTATTAACACGAAGGTTTATTTCCAAATGTGCGTGGTGTGGGTGAGTCGATCGATCGATCGATCGTTCGATTTGTCCCCCGCTGGGCGTCCACCTAAATACGTACCGGATTTTTAAAAAACCTTAGTATGGATGGAAGACCAACAGATCTGGATACCCCGTTCAGCCTCCAAAGAAGTTACAATTATAGCAACCATAACGGCTTCACCAGCCCGGGGTAACCTGTAGTCCTATGCAAATAAGGACGAGACTCAGTCTTCGCGTTCTCTGTAGCTGTGTCCGCCTAGAGTGCTAGAGGCCCCGGGTTCGGGCACCAGTGAAGGCTGTGATTTTTTCTGTTCACGTGGACATCTAGTAATTTCCCCTGGTCTATGGGTAGTGAGATAAAACGCCTGTGTGTATTATTGCACACGTAAAAAAGTCCAAGGAAATCGAAAAGACAAGCCTGCGCCGCCCAAGCAAAATTTGGGGTTTAAAATCTACCTAAAATATTTCAGGATCCTCGCCGGTGTGCTACGGAGCCCGTGCACTGCGCCGAGCTACTTCGGACTCAGACTTGAGTTATGTGTTACTACCCTTGTGCCATGATGTTGATCCGTTGTTCAAACTTCAAACTTTGTCGTTGTGCCGGTGCTGTCTTCGTTGTGACGTGTCCCTGCAGGAGTAGGTGTGTCTGCGTTGTTGTTGTTGCATCCCTGTAATGTCTGCAATAGCAGCCATGTCTCTACTGTAGTGGCATGTCTCCGTGGCTTCCGTCCACCCTTGCTCAGTCTACTGACGCAGCAGCCATCCCTTTTTGAGAACCAGCCATCTGGTGGTTACTCTGTGCAAGACGAATAGTTAACCCATGACGAGTACCATTAGTATAGAGATTCTCCACTGGCTGTTGAGAACGGGGACGGAGCTAGTATGGGCTTGTGCTGGTTGTTGTGATGTCAAATCTTCACCGATATGAACACATTCTCCATATCATTCTGCCTCCCCCCAACGGTGGAGCATAGGTCCTCGACTAACTCATTCCTTCTATTTTTACACACCTCAGTCCATCTAAAATTTGTTTGGCTTTTGGGTTGCAGTGCAAGAACGTTCTGGTTATTTTACTGAGGTGTTCTCAATGTGCTATATCCAACGGCTTTGAATGTTAGGGCAGCATTGTTGTATGTGTATAGCAGCCTTGGTGTATGTGTTGGCATAGTATTGTTAGTGCAGTATTGTTGTGTGTGTTAGTGCAATATTGTTGTATGTGTCAGTGCAGTATTGTATGTGTTAGTGCAGTACTGTTGTATGTGCTAGGGCAGCATAACAGTTGTTTGTGTCAGCAGTGATATATGTGTGTGTCAATGCAGTGTTATGTGTTGGTGAAGGACTTGCATGTGTAAGAGGCATAATTCTTATATGAATTAGCATGTGATTGTTGCAGGTGTTAGCGGTAAGATTATTGTATATGTTAGCACAGGATTGATGTATGTGTTAGTGGCAGGAGTCTTGTATGTGTTAGCACAGGATTGATGTATGTGTTAGGGGCAAGATTCTTGTATGTGTTAGCACAGGATTGATGTATGTGTTAGGGGCAAGATTCTTGTATATGTTAGCACAGGATTGATGTATGTGTTAGGGGCAGGAGTCTTGTATGTGTTAGCACAGGGTTGTTGCATGTGTTATGGGCAGGATAAAACAGATTGAGACAAAATACCAATAACAGACAGAGGGAGACAAACAAAATATAAGAATAAACAATAGAAAGAAAATAACATCAGTTTAATCATTCAAAAAAACAATACAATAATACTTCATATTTTACTTTCCAGTCACATAAAACAAACCACTAATGTATTTAAGCATATCATCTAACAACAACAACAACAACAACAACAACAGCAACAACAACAACAAAATACACCCACACAGAAAGTTTGACACAAACGATAAAATACAACTCAACTGTATCAGCCCAAATCGCAGTATAAATCATTTAGTACACATCTTTAGCATTACAAAGCCTAGTTGTACATTGCTGCAGATTTCAACAGTCTCAATTCATCTCTGTGATTGGCCTTCACTTTCCAGTTGGTGATTTCAAGTGTTGGTAGGTCCACTCTTTATATTATCTCTCTACCCTCTTCCTGGTCTGCTCCCACTGAACTCTTTTCTGTAAGCAGTTACTGTCTCTGTTATCTGGCATTCTCTCTATATGCCCTAACCATCACAGTCAATTGGCCATTAGCTGTGATTCAAACAAATTATGAAAGTTATTGTTGCTTTTCATTCTCCATTCTTTCTATGTGAGTTCCAGGGCCCCACTTTAGAAAACAAAGATTTGTTCCCCAGGTTAACTTCCCGGATAGTTTTGCAAGATAGAGATATGTTGTGGCCTTATTTTGTGGTGTTCTCTTTGCCTCCTTATCTACAGGTATTGCCCCTCGAGACCCTGTCCAGGGCACCCACATGCAGACAGGTCGGCCCTCAAGGAAAGGCAGTGGCAAATATTGGAAATTCCCCACTATCCAATGAGGCTTCCATAAATGCAGAGCCGATACAAGATGCTCTCTCTGGTCCTGGGCTTACCCAAGGAATCATCTCGTCCTGTATATGACTGCTTAATCTCACATCCGTATGTTGAGCTTTCCGATCATCATGGGCTACGCAACTTCGATGGCCACACAAAGAGATACATTTTTCTTTGGTAAGTTAGACACCTATAATATTTTGTTTCATCTAGAAACTTAGCAAGGCAGCACGGCGGAGCATGCATCCAGCAAGTGGGACGAATAGTAACACATATGTGAACCTTTCTGCCAATTAGCAGGACATTTTTGGTTGGTCATTCTGTGTTTCTGAGTAATATGACATGTATCAGACGTACACTTATATAAAACCAGCACACTGACAGTGGCAGGTTGTCCTGGTGTACCCCAACACGGTGACGACACTGAGAAACAGCAAATGATGTATGGAGATAGCACTGTTCCTCGAGTTACCGCCCGCAATAGATGCACATCCAAGCTGCAAGCAAATCTCTTTCTATAGGGCTGTATCTCAGCAGCACAGCAGTTCTTCCCACTCGACAGACATTTCAACTGCAGGCTGTCATTTAGTAGTGTCTTCAACATGTTCAACTGAATGCTGTCATTTAGTAGTGTGTTCGGTTAGGGGACTTCAACATGTTCAACGGAAGGCTGTCATTTAGTAGTGTGTTCAGTTAGGGAACTTCAACATGTTCAACTGAAGGCTGTCATTTAGTAGTGTGTTCGGTTAGGGGACTTCAACATGTTCAACTGAAGGCTGTCATTTAGTAGTGTGTTCAGTTAGGGGACTTCAACATGTTCAACTGAAGGCTGTCATTTAGTAGTGTGTTCAGTTAGGGGACTTCAACATGTTCATGCTGTCATTTAGTAGTGTGTTCGGTTAGGGGACTTCAACATGTTCATGCTGTCATTTAGTAGTGTGCTCGGTTAGGGGACTTCAACATGTTCATGCTGTCATTTGGTAGTGTGTTCGGTTAAGGGACTTCAACATGTTCAAATGAAGGCTGTCATTTAGTAGTGTGTTCAGTTATGGGGACCTCAACATGTTCAATGGAAGGCTGTCATTTAGTAGTGTGTTCAGTTAGGGGACTTCAACATGTTCAACTGAAGGCTGTCATTTAGTAGTGTGTTCAGTTAGGGGACTTCAACATGTTAATGCTGTCATTTAGTAGTGTGTTCGGTTAGGGGACTTCAACATGTTCAACGGAAGGCTGTCATTTAGTAGTGTGTTCAGTTAGGGGACTTCAACATGTTCAACGGAAGGCTGTCCTTTAGTAGTGTGTTCAGTTAGGGGACTTCAACATGTTCAACTAAAGGCTGTCATTTAGTAGTGTATTCAGTTAGGGGACTTCAACATGTTCAACTGAAGGCTGTCATTTAGTAGTGTGTTCGGTAAAGGGACTTCAACATGTTCAACTGAAGGCTGTCATTTAGTAGTGTGTTCGGTTAGGGGACTTCAACATGTTCAACTGAATGCTGTCATTTAGTAGTGTGTTCGGTTAGGGGACTTCAACTGTTCAACTGAAGGCTGTCATTCAGTAGTGTGTTCGGCTAGGGGACTTCAACATGTTCCAAATAAGCTTTGATAGACGTTTTCACATATGCACTAGGGTGGTCTGATGTGAGCCAGACTAGACACCACATCTCTAGAGGCCAACAGTAGTTTATCGAGAAACAGCAGATCATTTGGTTTGGTCATCTCGTTAAATGCAGCAAGATCAAATACCATCACAGGCACTACACCTCAGAAGATCAACTACAACAGCAAGAGGAAGGCTGCAAAAATATGGATCGAGGATATTAAAGACAACTTATGCCTTCACAGCATGACAAAAGACAGTATCAACCAGCATGCACTGGATCGCAAATTATTCCTCTTCAGGACACTTAATGCAAAAGTGGTTTATGACAATGATGATGATGAATCTGACACAATAAATTCCATATTTGTCCCTGTGTGTATAAAACAATTACAGCAGCCTCCAGACAGACTATCATCATGAGAGAATATCCTCTGTCACCACATCCAGATCAGCAGCTGTAGCCCCTATTCCCTTGAATAAAATATTGAAATGGCGGACGGCTGAGTCTCCAGCAAATGATGCAGCAATGCTCTTATTCTTCTTACCTAACCTAAGAACGACAGGTAAAACCATGTAAAAGAGGCATCCAAATTGTCTATAAACATAGACAAATACATTAGAGGCATCCAAATTCTCTTTAAAACATGTTAAGTTAGTTGCGTATCCTTTACAGGATGTTGCAAAACCAACCCCAGCATTTATTGGCTGTTGTGGTTTTTCTAGGCAAGTTTTACATCCAGTAGTTTGCCATTGCTTCCTGAATGGTCAGCTCTCGGTACCACTGTCAAAACAAGCGCAAGACAAATCGTCTGCAGCTGGGATCACACCTGGCACCCCAGCATTACGAATCGAGCTCGCAACGTCTAAGCCACAGACGCTGACTTAAAACGTGTACAACTACATAAAAGAGGCATAACATTTCTCAAATTATAAGAAGCATTCATTTGAAACCCATTCCAATGGCTTTATTACTAAAGCATGAAAGAAACACTATTAGGTATGGTAGAAATAAACAAAGCAATAATTCTGAATGAATGATATACCACGGCCTGGTCAGATAAAAGATGCCCCAGGCATCCTATTGCTCAGGTAGGTGGCCAATGCTGTCTGCAAAAAAAGGGACTGTAGTTGCTCAATGGACCAAGTGTTTACCATGTTTATTATGTCTGCGTCAGTGTGAAATCTGTGCCCAATGCGAGCTGTTTTTAAAGGTACGATCAGTTCAAATCACACAACAACAAATCATGACTATAGGTTGGATGTTGTCAAAATTTCCCATTTCTTCCATGCTAAAGCTTTCTGCACAATTTGTGCAACATGTGGATAAGCATTATGTAACAGAATCACACTGTGAGAAACAATGCAAGATCATTTACTCTTGATAGCTGTATGCAGCTTGTCTAGTGTTTCCAGGTGGGTAAAATGGGATGTTGACAAAAGGTTCTTTAAAACCTGCCTACAATAGGCCTTCATATTTTTTTTTTTAATGCGCTCAACATATCCTTACTAGCAGTAACATGTAGCTTGAATTGTGTGGTTTTTGGTGATCCATCATGCTTTCACTGCACGCCACTATAAGGAAGAGAAATACACCACTCTCCGTTCTGTAATGCAGCAAGTGGTTCAAACACCTTTCATGCATTCCTCCTTTTTGAGGTCGGTGAACATAAGTGGTTCCCACTGTGAACACACCTTCCAATACTGGAGTTTCTTTAAAACAACCTTTTGAAATGTTTTAACTGACAGATCAAATTCTTTCATTAGCAAAAATATGCGTCGTCAACAGATCACCTGTATTCCTGCATCAATTCTGGTGTCTATTGCTACAATATGCACTTGACTCTGTCATGGAAGATCTATCGTGAACTCACGTCCTATCCAAAACATTCATGCCCAGTCTGTCACTGTTGTCTTCAACGTATATTTGTTACCGTACCCTGCCTGCATTCTTCCATGAATGTCCACTGGTCGACATCCTTTAAATCATTGCTCTTAGAGCCTCTCTGGAAGGAGTTTAAATCAATCGACCATTATCTCAACAGTCGGATATGTAACCCATGCCTCATGAGATAATACTCTTTTATTCACTGGCCATTGCTAAGCACATGACTATGACATCATCATGTTCAACTTACGCAATTACACGCGGTGTAGCAAACAGGTTTGAAATGAATGTTCCTTATTTATAAAAGCCAATTCTGTATGCTCTACAGATTACATAAATGCTTTTGATTGATAAGGGGAAACATGAGGAACTTGTCAAAATGTTGGCCAATATTAACACTAATGGGAAACATCTCAGAATAATTCGAAAAATTTATCGGAAACAAATGGCAACTATTTAAATTGGAAAAAGAATGGGCACATATGAACAGATCAAAGGAGTAAGACAGGCATTTGTTTTGTCATCTGACCTCTTCTCTCTCTACAGTGAGATGATTTCAAAACAGAATGAAGAACATCTTGTGCAACAGGTCCCTCTCTTTGGATGTGTGAGAGTACTAAAATTTTATGTAGAGCCTAAACTGCTGTATGGTAGTGAATCATGGAATGTGAATGCACAGATTAGAAAGAACTTGGAGGCGACAAAGATGTGGTTCCTCAGAAGAATTTTAAGGATCCCTTCGACTGCCAGAGTAACCCACGAGGATTGCTTGAAAGAAGCTAATGAAAAAAGGTCAATATATATAGCTATAAAGAAAAAACAAGCACTGTTCTCTGTCACGTAATGAGGGGGAAGACTGGAGAATACTGTGACCACTGGGAAGATCAATGGTAGAAGACTGAGATGCAGACCCAGAGAGATGATGCCAATGGACTGTCACGATGGCATGGGGGGATAAAAATAGTGGAACTGATCCAGAGGACAAGGGACCGAGAGCTATGGAGATGCATGAACACGTGATGGTGATGAATTATGTTTCCATAGCCATAATTTTCTAACCATATTTACTATATATTACATACTTAAGGAACTTTGCTATATCTTACATTTTTTACTAACCTTTATTTTTAAGATTACTATTCAATACCTTAATTATATTATTTTCTTACGTCACTTTATTATCCCTTTTCTTCTTAACTCACTTTACTTTATTTTCTTAGCTCACTTTACATTATTTTCTTAACTCACTTTACATTATTTTCTTATCTCACTTTATATTATTTTCTTAACTCACTTTACATAATTTTTCTGACCTCATGTTACATTACTTTCTTGCCTTACGTTACATTACCTTACTTTACTATAACTAACTTAACTTACACTCTATTTTATAATTACTTACATCTTCAGGATAAAAATAGCCACTAAAATCCATTCAGATGGCTTGAAGATAATGTTATCTTTTTCAAATCTGAAACCATAGATACAAATACAGCAGACATTTTAGTAAACAGTGTTTTTATATACTTTTTTTAATATTTTTGACAGCAATTGACAGATGAAGACAGGTACCAGGCAGAAATGGGGACAGCATAAACGGCCAGAGTAACCTTAACCAAAGAAAAAGTTTCTTACATCTAAGCGGTTATCAAAGTTATAGTTTCATGAATCCTAGCCTGATAGACATAAGTGAATCATGGAGAGCTGGATGATTAGTAAAAAATTATTTGGAAGCTGCAGAGATGTGGTTTTAAAGATGATTAAAAAAGAGTAATGAACATGTCTTGAAAGAAACTGTTAAAGAGCTCATGAAGAGAACTGTTTGTCCATGCCAGAAAGAGACAATCTAGAAAACTGGAGTACATTAATATGGCGGGAAAGTTGGAAGGAAAAAAAAAGGCATCGGGAGAGTCAGAGGAAAGATGCTGAACAGTCTGACATCATGGCATGGAAGATCTCTGACAGAAAAAAATTAAGTAAATGAGACAGTAGGTTGTGGATAGACAGAACAATGCCACATGACACAGACTATAAAAAGAAGAAGTTGAACATTAAAGCTATAAGTGATCCAGGGATAACTGACTCTGTTGGGTGGTGTAAAAATATGGGCTATGAATAGACAATGTGCTGGTTGGTCTATAAAATATGTCTAGCCCTATATGCCTGAGGGCATAGAAGAAGGTCATTGACTTTTACTAGCTAGGGTGAACTTTGAAGTAGCAGCCATGAGGGAACAAACTGATCAATCAACTGATTCATTACGGTATGTGGCCATTACTGGAATCAGTAGGGTATGTGGCGATTACTGGATTCACTAGGGTAGATGGTCACTACTGGATTCACTAGGGTATGTGGTCATTACTGAATTCACTAGGGTAGATGGTCACTACTGGATTCACTAGGGTAGGTGGTCTTTACTGGATTCACTACAGTATGTGGTCATTATTTTTTGGCTTTCACTTACCTAAAAGTGTAGACCAGTTCCCTGACCAGAGACGACACATCTTGCACCGAGAGGCGAAGAGGAGGGAGCAAGTCCGGCAAGCTGTTGACAGAAAGAAAATTAGTTGCATATCCTTTACAGATCAACCTTGACATCTGTTGACTGCCTGTGGTTTTACCAGACAGTTTTCACATTCAGTTAGTTTGCCACTGCTTTCTGAGTTGATGTATATCCTTATTTTTATAGTTAGATCACTGTCTTTGCTGTGTACTGATGAAGGATTTCTAGCTGCATCATTCATTTTGTTACTGATGACGGTGCTTTTTAGGCAGCTGACTCCCTTCTACTTTTTATTCAGGTTTTTTTTCCCCCCAAAGAAATAAAGCAGTTTTTCAAAGGATAAAAAAATAATTTTATGTAAATCAACTGTGTTAATGAGGTCTGAAAAAAGAATTCTTAACAGCTAAACAAAACCAACATAACAACACACACAACTTTTGGCCCACACTAACAGAAATAAGACTTTAATTCACTGCCACAACCGAGAAGCACTGGAGAGATTATCAGAGATATAATTTATTGTCAAGAGCTAGCTGCTTACAGTTACAGGGTTTCTATTATTACAAGCACCAGCAGAATTAAATAGCAATTTTGCATTCTGGATTTCTTTTTCTTTTTCTTCTTCGCGTTGGCCACCTGTAAACTCTGGCGGAAAGTTCTGGTTGTTCATCCACTTCTGGACTGCAGTCCTTAATGTTGCGTGTGCATTTTACAGGTCTGACTCATTTGTATGCAGACTGCTGGTTCCTTGCCTCTCAGGCAGCTGCATTCCAATTTTGAAGGAAGCTCCCAATTATTGGACTCTTAGGACATGCTTTTGGGTAGGCAGTGAGTCTATTCTTGTTTTCCCTATAATAGGGCCCCAGAACCCACACAGGGACATTCTGGAGTGAAAAACACACCATAAGCGAGTAAACAATGTGGAGGCTCAGAAAGACCATCAGGATCCGAAGAGAATGGTACAGCCAGGAGTGACTAAGGGATCTGGTCAACACTAAACACTCACGGAAAGGGCAAGACAGACAATCAGCTTGTTACTGGTATCATAGGAGCTGAAACTCTGTGACTGCTGCTGAAGATGGGGACAGAGTACTTATGGGAATGTCCCTAGTTCTGTGATGTCCGTTCTCAACTCCTAACTTATATATGTTCCATAAAACAGCAACAAACTGAGCAGATCACTGGGTTCTCATTTGGGAGTCCCAATTTTGAAATACATGTAAGACATTTGTAAATTAGTAAAAAACCTAACCTGCACAGTTCGTGGCAACTGCACAAGCTATAGATAGACATTACATTCTCAGGCTCTGGACCTCTAGGTTCTATACAGCCCTAAAAAAGGTGGTGAATAAAGGCAGTAAGTAAAGTAAAGCACTATTTTTGACGCCTTTAGACATACTGTCCTGGGTTCAAACCCCGGTGAAGACTTGGATTTTTTCACATGGACTGCTAGTATTTTCCCCTGGTCTCTGGGTTGAAAGATCGGATGCCCATGTGTATTGGTGAGCACGCAAAAAATTTCTCGGCAGTTGGAAATCAAAAAGGGAAGCCTAATGGCGCTGCCCAGGTAACATTTAGAGTTTAAAATCTACCCAAAGTATTTCAGGACCCTCGCCAGTACTCTGCGCTGAGATTCTTCAGACTCAGGCTTAAGTTAGAAGTAGAACTCATGGGTTACTACCCTTGTGCCATGATGTTGATAAGTTGTATAAACCAAACCAGTACTGGGCTAGAGCTATATTTTACAGATCAGTTGGCACTCAGTGGGTGGTGTGGTCAACATCAGGCTGGCGGCCTTTACCTCCTGGGACTTTACCCGGTACCCATTTGAGGTTGGGTTGACCTGGCAGCCAAGGTCATTTCTGAAGAAAACAAGCCTACTACACTATGGCAGCTCCCATACAGGCAGCAAAGACCCCCTCCCTCCCCACCCCACCGCCACCACATTCCAGACACTTACAATTTATCCAAGCGGTCAAGGACAATCTTGGTGCGGATCTGTTGCTGGTCGAAGGCATCAACCGTCGGGATGTAGACTGGGTCTGTGTCTTCACTGTCCTCCTTCTGTCAATGGTAAAGATAGTCAGTCCTATATTAGGTGCTGTAACTGGGTTTTTTTAATGTCTTAAGCTTTCATATATTCTTGACCAGTGGTTCTCAAGCAGATAAGAAGACCCAACAGACCCATCTTATTTTAAAAGTCCTGCCCACGGACTCCATACTTTTTAATGGTCATGTAAAAAACAACACACACAAAACCTTAAAAATGTAAATTTATATCGGAATCCCACAAAAACAGGGTTGGGTTTTTTCCCAAGACAATTGTCTTGTATTTTCTTTATAGGCTGAGGCTTGGGGCCGACAAAGGTAATGGAAAGAAAAGTTCGTAACAATTCCCATTTCCAACATGTTAGCCCCCAAGTAAACTTAGCCGAATAGCTACGATGTGTGAGGTGTGAATGGTCAGTTTCACCTTCTTCAAACCTTTCTTACAAAGCAACTACCAACTCCTTCTCATTCTTAAATTCTTAGCGTTCACTGGCTGTAAACTCCAGCAGAAGGTTGTGGTTGTTCATCCATTTCTGGACTTAAGTCTTGATACAAAACTTGAGTTTTGTTAAGGTTGGCCCAACCTTGATACAAAACTTGAGTTTTGCATGCACATTCGTTTTACAGATCTGGCTTATGTGTAGGCAAACTGTTAGTTTCTAACCTCTCAGGCAGATGTAAGCTGAAGTAAAAAAACCCTAATTAGTCATATTTTACAACATGCTTGTCGGGAAGGGGAAGGAGAGGGTCTATCCCCCCCCCCCTTCCCCCCCCCCCCCCCCCCCCCCCCCCCCCCCCCCCGCAGGCAGAAGGACAATTACCATAAAATCTGCCTACTTTTTATAAAACTGGGTCGCTTCCAGAATCATTCTGTATTGGAAAAAAATGAATCCAACTTTTGCTGGGTTCTGAATGCAGACCAGTATGCTGACTTTTTCTGTTCCACCAATAAATAGTGAAGACTTTAGCTTACCATGCAGTCTTTGTTTTTCTGCTGCGATTTTCCCCACAATGGAGCATAGGCTTTCAATCAACTCATGCCAGGTTGTTCTGTCCTCTGCTATTGCATACAGCTCATTCCATGTCTTCCCTATCTTTCCCTCTCTTATTTCACTCTTACATTTATATGCCCCTGTGGGTTCCAGTGCAAATTCATTCTAGTCATATTGTTCTCAGGTTTTTTCAACATGTGACTTATCCTCAAGAGTAAATTATTTAGGGGTTTCCTTCAAAGTCAGTGCATATCTGCCTGAAAAGCGAGGAACGAACAGTCTGCATTCAAATAAGCCAGATCTCTAAAACAGATGTGCATGCTAAACCTAAGTTCTGAAACAATACTCAGGTCCAATACTCAATACTCGTAAACAATTTATGTTATGCTGATGACACAGTCTTGATAGCAATAAGTCAGAAAGAACTACAGGAAATGATAGACATTGTGGTGTTAGAAAGTGGAAAAATAGGTCTCAGTTTGAATAATAGGAAGACAGAAGTAATGGTGGTATCAAAGAAACAAATTATTCCTAAATATGAAATAAAAGTCGATGGTGTTATTTTAGGACAAGTACAGAAATTTAAGTATCTGGGCACAGGATTAGAACAGATGGAAGATGCATAACTGAGATAAGAAACAGAATAGGACAGGCAAAAACTGCATTTTATAAAATGAAGAATATCTTGTGCAATATATCCTTGTCATTGAGAGTTAGAAAAAGAATTCTTGCTTGCTATATGCATCCAGTTTTAACATATGGCTGTGAATCCTGGACAATCGGTAGGCAGGCCAAACAATTTCTTGAGGCCTCAGAGATGTGATTTTACAGAAGAATGCTTAGAATACCTTGGACAGCCAAAAACAGCTACCAAGAGGTGGGAGCCAGAAGACAACTTATCACAGACATCAGAAGGAGACAGTCATCATTTTGCGGCCATGTTATGAGAAGAGGGAAAATAGAACATGTTATGACCACTGGAAAGATCTGTGGAAGGAGGGATAGAGGAAGACAAAGAGAGAAGATTCTTGACAGTCTTGTTGCACAGCATGGAGGTATGTCGGCACACGAACTAATACATGCTGCAGGAGAACGTGGATTATGGAGAGGCATGATCGCCCACGCAAGTCAGCAAGGCACCTAATGATGATGATGACTCAGGTCCAGAAGTGGATGAACAAACAGAGCCTTCCGCTGGTGATCACAGCTTTTGAACACAATGAAGAATAATGAAAGAACGAAGAAGAAGAAAGGCAGGTAGAGGGATAAACTTCAATTAATATCCATACCTTCTGCACAGTTTCCGGTTTCCTCCCAGTAATAAACTCCATCACCTTCAGCTGAAATTCTTCTGACTCCTTCTTCAGAGCAGCATAGTCAGGGGTAGATTTTAAAGACTTGCCGCTTTTATCTGCAACATCTTCTGTGCCATCAATAAGATCCTCAAAGTCCTTTTGCTGTGAATCCAGACGCTGGCACAAATTGGCATAACCTCTTTGAATTCTTGGATCTGAAAAGCTCATTGAATTTTCACTGTTGCTTCCTGTAGAGGAGTGGATGTATGCAGTTGTTTCTGGTGTGATCCATGTTTTAATGACATCTCCGAGTCGCTCAAGTGGTGATTTGGGTAATTTTTTCTTCTTTGAAGATGACTTAAGGTTTCTGTGGGAAGCTTTGGCCGAGGAATTTTTGGAGCTGTTTTGGTTTAAGTCAACTTGGTTCCCATTGGCTTGCAACAAATTCTTAACAGGAGGAGGCTGATCTGATGTTTGTTCTAAGGTGGCTTCTGCTGACGATATAACATTCATATTTTCTGTCGATGGCAATATGCCTCCATTTGGCTGCGAACTACCATCTGATACAACTGTGATGTCATCTATCATTCCTGATAAAACATTTTTTCTTTTAGATAACAACTTCATGAGGTAATCAATCTTTGTTGTCTGTTCATTTCCATGATCAAATCTTCTGTCTTTATTTACATTTTCACAATCAAGATTCACGGTGACATTACTACTATATATCACACAGCTAACGTCTTGCTTTGGTTTAAGATGTCCTTTTAGGTTAGGTATTGTCACCTCTTCAAGCTGTCCGTCTGTATTACTATTTTGTGAAATAATGTCTTTATTCACAGATGCTTCACATTCTACAGTTCCTTCCAGCTCTGTTGGTTTCCCTTCCTGAAAATCAGTAAAACTATGTTTCGTTGCATTTCTATCAACTAGTTCTTCACTCTTACTCTCCTCTAAAGATTCTTCATTTTTCTCATCTTTAAAATCATTCACGTTATGTTTGAGTAATTTGCTGTCGACTATTTCCTCATGTTTATTTCTCACATCCTTGTCTGTTGCATGCACAGTTTTATAAAGTGTAGCAGTTTGAATGTTCTTTTTCTCTGGAGGCTGTCTTTCCTTTTTAACTGATGGTGATCTTATTTCCAACTCTTCTAGCTTCTTGATTTCTTTCTCCAGAAGTTTTTGTGGCAATGTCCCCACCACCTCATTTCCAACCATACCACTGAAAGAAAGCAAAATAAGTTATCCTATTTCGGAAAGAAAAACACAAGTTATGTTTCAGAAACAACAAAACTACAAGTTAATACATTTTAGACATAACACGTTATTATTTTGGGAAACGCAAAGAAGAAGAAGAAGAAGAATAAAAGCCTCAATACCAGTACTGATAAACTACATGATATAAAAACTGCCTTGTATAAGCCACAAACCGCCAACAAATGCTGAGGTAAACAGGAGGTGATTGCAGGCAAGCTGACTGCAAAAAGTGCTAAATACAACACAAAATATGATTAGACAGCTCAACAAGGGGAATGGAAAAGACATCAACAAAAACATCCAAGCATTCTGACCAGTCTTTGTCAATAGCAGCCGCTGTGGTGTAGCGGCTAGATGCCTGCGTGCGGATCCAACGGTCTTGGGTACAAATCCAAACACAGCCAATCTTTTTTTTTGTTTGAAAATGACCTTGGCTCCCAGGTCGACCAGATAAAGTCCTGGCAGGTGAAGGTGGCCAGCATAATATTGACCACATCACCCACTGAGTGTCCATTGGTCCCTAAAATATAGATCTAGTCCTATATGCCTAACAGGTGTGAAGACACGGAAAAGAGTCCCTTACTTTATCAAGTACAAAATACAACACAAACTGTGACTGGAAAGCTCAACGGACAAGACACCAGAACTTCTAAACATCCAAACATCAACATGAAACCAAGAAATACATAACTGAGGGGGAAGATGCATAAATGTGTGTCGTATTTAACAAGCGCTTGGGTCACCTATACCTGCCAAAACAGCTCTCACATGGACACCAGAGGGGAAGAGAAAACAAGGGTGCTTAAAAACAACATGCAGACGGACGACGGAAAGTGACCTGAGTGCGGCAAATCTGACATGGATAACTGCACTGAAATTTGCACAGGACAGGAAAGCATGGAAAGTCCTCTCTAAAGCCTCACGTGACACTAGGCATAAAGAGAATTGATGATGATGATAAGTCAGCTAGTTAGTGATATCCTGTGAAAATATGCAACTAATTAATAGTGTAATTCATTTATGTGATTTGAAGAGTCAAAATTCTCCTTTACTACATGTATGTGTGAACATCTTTTTTTTTTCCAATGAAAACACATTAAGTGCTAGAGGTGTTATATTTACATGTCTATATATTTATCTAATGTTGTAGATAACAATTAAACGAAGCAAGGACGATAGTCACCAAAATGAGTCCATTTCCAGTAATCATGACAAATTAAACGAAGCAAGGACGATAGTCACCAAAATGAGTCCATTTCCAGTAATCATGACATTGCCCTACCACTGGGTCAACATAGACACAGGCGAGAGTGTGAGGATGGCGCACTGTGCAGCTCTTCCTTACTCGAATCTAAAGTCACTGCACACGCCACTTTCACCCAAGTATTACTTTTCATAATGTGCTAATGGTCAAGTGGTTAGAACAGCAAGAATCAGGGAACACTGCTGGGGGAAAAAATATTTTTAAATAAAAAGAAAGCTTAAATGAATGTCACCTGATCTCAGTATGTGGCAGAAGTTTTATATCTGCTGGTGCTTCTTTAGCCCTTGTCCAAAGAGGGGACTCTGGGATTTGGTTACAGAAATGTTTTGATGCCTTCAGGCACTGGTTGCTGCAGAAGTTCTACAAATAAATTGTCAAGAATAGTTAAAAACATTGTTTTCACATTGTAAATTTAAATAATGCGGAACATAAACAATTTACTGTCTGCCAAATTTCACTGTATCTCATCAGGTGCATTACAACAAATAATCAACACATAATAAATCGCTTTATGAAGTTGGACTGTACACCTCTCTACCAAAAATTCAAGTTCAGGCATGTGATTATCATGGTAACTTTAAATTATCACATGATCTTTCTGTTTACATACAATAGGAGAGTTCAGTTGTACTGACACACCAGTCATCTTTTACCTGTACATATCAAATCAGTGCCAATATGCTATGATTCAACACAAATTCTTCCCCTACTGCCATCCTCTATCATTTGTTACCTTCTATCTGTATGTATCAAATCAGGTGCCAATATGCCATGATTCAAGACCGACCAGATTCTTCTGTCGCCTCCTTCTTTATCACTTCCCTTGTAAACGTTAAATGATGCAATAGTACACATTTTCGTTTTTCGCTATGGTAAAATAAAAAATCACAAGTAGCAATAATGAAGCTAGTGAAAACAATTATACCTTTCTTTCTGAGATATCGTAAACTTTGTTTGTGCTGGTTGAAATGTGGTACTGTTTCTTTGGGATCTAGAAAGAAAAAGAAGAAGCTTGAAATTGAAATCTCGGCAGACCATCATAATCAGTAACATATTGATTTTTCAAGTGTAAGCAAGCTGTAATAAAATTTTAGCATTTTCATGTTTCAAGTGTAAGCAAGGTGTAAAAGAATCTCAGGAGACTATCAAAATCAGTTAAATGTTCATGTTTCAAGTGTAAGCAAGCTGTAAAAGAATCCCAGGAGACTATCCCAATCAGTTAAATGTTCATGTTTCAAGTGTGAGCAAGGTGTAAAAGAATCCTAGGAGACTATCCCAATCAGTTAAATATTCATGTTTCAAGTGTAAGCAAGCTGTAAAAGAATCCTAGGAGACTATCCCAATCAGTTAAATGTTCATGTTTCAAGTGTAAGCAAGCTGTAAAAGAATCTTAGGAGACTATCCCAATCAGTTAAATGTTCATGTTTCAAGTGTAAGCAAGCTGTAAAAGAATCTTAGGAGACTATCCCAATCAGTTAAATGTTCATGTTTCAAGTGTAAGCAAGCTGTAAAAGAATCCTAGGAGACTATCCCAATCAGTTAAATGTTCATGTTTCAAGTGTAAGCAAGGTGTAAAAGAATCTTAGGAGACTATCCCAATCAGTTAAATGTTCATGTTTCAAGTGTAAGCAAGGTGTAAAAGAATCTTAGGAGACTATCCCAATCAGTTAAATATTCATGTTTCAAGTGTAAGCAAGGTGTAAAAGAATCTTAGGAGACTATCCCAATCAGTTAAATATTCATGTTTCAAGTGTAAGCAAGGTGTAAAAGAATCTTAGGAGACTATCCCAATCAGTTAAATGTTCATGTTTCAAGTGTAAGCAAGGTGTAAAAGAATCCTAGGAGACTATCCCAATCAGTTAAATATTCATGTTTCAAGTGTAAGCAAGCTGTAAAAGAATCCTAGGAGACTATCCCAATCAGTTAAATGTTCATGTTTCAAGTGTAAGCAAGGTGTAAAAGAATCCTAGGAGACTATCCCAATCAGTTAAATGTTCATGTTTCAAGTGTAAGCAAGCTGTAAAAGAATCTTAGGAGACTATCCCAATCAGTTAAATGTTCATGTTTCAAGTGTAAGCAAGCTGTAAAAGAATCTTAGGAGACTATCCCAATCAGTTAAATGTTCATGTTTCAAGTGTAAGCAAGCTGTAAAAGAATCTTAGGAGACTATCCCAATCAGTTAAATGTTCATGTTTCAAGTGTAAGCAAGGTGTAAAAGAATCTTAGGAGACTATCCCAATCAGTTAAATGTTCATGTTTCAAGTGTAAGCAAGCTGTAAAAGAATCTCAGGAGACTATCCCAATCAGTTAAATGTTCATGTTTCAAGTGTAAGCAATCTGTAAAAGAATCTCAGGAGACTATCCCAATCAGTTAAATGTTCATGTTTCAAGTGTAAGCAATCTGTAAAAGAATCTCAGGAGACTATCCCAATCAGTTAAATGTTCATGTTTCAAGTGTAAGCAAGCTGTAGCCACAACATTCCCTGTTATAAATTTAGTGGCTGAATTAATATAATATTTAGATAGTGTCTCACTTTCATTATATTTCCTCCTCGTGTGGGTTTCCTTGTGGGGAAAACAAGAACAGACCCACCACCTTTACAACAAACATGTCGTAGGAGTTTAAGGGCTTCCTTTGAAGTCCAAGTACAAGGACAAGGAACAACCAACTACACATGAATAAGCCAGCAAAATGGAAGTACATGCAAAACTCAGGCTCTGGCACAAAGCCAAAGTCCAAATGGTTGAACAACCAGGACTTTCTGCTGCAGCTTACATCCAGTGAACAAAGAAGAAGATGATATTTCCTCTGTTTAATAGCACACCGAGAGCTGATATTATCAGATATCACTATTTAAGGTGCAATGTGAGAAATACAGTGAGAATTATCTGGAATCTGCAGAGGTGTGGTATTTTAGAAAAATGGTTGGGGCAGCACCAAGGGCTGATTTAAACAAACTAATGAAGACATCCTGAAATGGAGAATGTACTGACAATGAGACAATGGAGGTGATTAGGGTCAGGGATCAAACCAAGACAGAGGTTGGACAGTTTAGCATCATGACACAGAGCAGTTGTTGCCAATTAGATACGGTCTCCTTCAAACTGTAGAGTGCATTAGCCTGGGATGAGAGAAACCAACAGTCTGTATGTAAATAAGCTAGATCTGTAAAATGGATGTGCATACAAAACTCATGTCCAGACCACAGACAAGACTTAAGTCCAGAAGTGGATGAACAACTAGACCCATCTGCCTGAGTTTATACCGGTGAAGAAGAAGATATTTGACCTGTGGCTCCCTGTTATAATCAAAGGTCTGCCACGAACTCCATATTTGTAAAGCATATTTATATATATAAAGTAAATCAATATGAGAATCACAAAACAAGAGAAGGTTGAGGGAGGGCTGGCTTTGTTGTTGCTGTAAATCTTCTTTGTTTCTCAACTTTCCATTCACTGGCAGAAAGTTATAGTTTTTCTGGACTTCAGACTTGTTCCAGAACTTTAGATTTGTGTGCCCATCCGATTTATAGATCTGTTTCCTTTATTTATTTATATATTTATCATTATTTTTTTTTTATGCAGACTGTTGGTTCTTGACCTCTCAGACAGATGCATGCTGAATTTTAAGGGTTTTTATGAAATGAAAAAATCTGTGAACATGAGAACTAAGAATAGCAGTAATAGTGCGATTCACCACTGGTTGTTAAAAAATAAATTTGTTCTTGCTACACAGAAAAATAATTCATAGGAATGAAAAAAACCAACATTCCAAGCTCAAGAATGTGTTCCGTGGCAGTCTGGTTTTCGACTAAAAGAAGAATAGTCACCTGAATTCTCATATACAGACATAATGGTAAAGTCCAGGAGTTTTTGTGTGTAATCAATCAAGTGATATATCAAACTACGCACCATTATATGCACATAAGGAGCAACTTACATTAGTTAATGCATTATCACACAGCGGATACCCACACAAATAACTGATGGCTCTCTCTTCAACAACATCTGTGTAGTGTTCTCGTGATATCATCTGACCCTGGCAATACAGTAACAAAAGTTAACCATGTCAGAAGCCAGTCAAGTGTGTATGTGTGAATGTGTTATTTTTTAAAATAATTATTACTGAGCAGAAGTAACTGAGTAATCTTGCTTATCTCGGTTACAACTTCTCTTCAAACAGGTCATCCCACAATTGTTCCGTTCCTGTACGAACAAAAACCACATGGAACATCCATCACTGTCCCCTGTGATGGAACTGACACAGACTGCAGTCCCAGCAAAGCCCACACATACATACACATTAAATGCATAGGGCAGCGGTCAGAAGTGCCAACACAAACAGTCCATCACTAGAAATGCAGTTCAATGGAAGCAGCAGTTACAATAGATCAGTAATCGCACAAGCAAAGCAAAGGATCCATCCTATTCATGCCAGTGGTACCTCTGGCATATGGTGCTAGGCCCATGTTTTCATAGACCAATCAGAACTAGATGCATGATATAGCCAACATAAAACTGGCACTTCACATCCAGAACAACTATTGGTAATAATTTAGACTGGGTCAACATGAGAACTAAGAATATTTTATGAAAATTCTGTCTTGGTGTGGATTGGAATCTAGAGCCTTTGGGCCAGCAAGCTACTACTACACTTCCTAAACTTCCTTTACGCTCAGTGAATGCATTTAATTGTCTGGGGCATGTGAAAAGACGAGAAGGTCTGGAGAAAATAACCACGAAGAGAGATTCGTGCGGAATTCGGAGAAAATGAAGAAAACAGTGCAGACGGTTTCCAGACGAAATAAATGATTTCCACATGGTAGTAACAAAGCCAGGACAGTTGGAATATGATAGACAGGGATTTTAGAAGACTGTTTGTGGAGTGTGGATTCAATGATATATTTAACTTCTTTACTGTCGATATCATCCCTTGTTATCTCTGCAGTGAAGTGATAAAGCTATTTGCCTTGTGCTCTGAAGGTAATGGGCTCATTTCACGAACATTATCATTTCATGAGCGCAATTTTTATGAAGATCCCTGGGGATCATCACTATAGCTGCAGAATTTGTGCTTTATGCGACAGTAGCATTTTCATGAGAAATCAGGCCATATAGGAAAACCAAGTGCAGTGAAGTCAACCTCTGAAACTTCAAGTTATCCACATGAACCCATCAGTGGTGATGCACAGCTTTCACAATCACAACCTGACTGTGTCCTTCTCTCTCTCTGTGTGTGTGTGTGTGTGTGTGTGTGCGTGTGGGTGGGGCGGGTGTGTGTGTTGGGTTTCATTATGAAACATGGCTTTTTAAAAAGCCAAGTAAGTTAATGTGACATTTTACTGTAAGCTCCAGTGATAGAGGTTACTGGGTCATGGCAGGAGTCACCTGATACATACGTTTGTTAAGCACTGGGGGATGTTTATATTTAATGTTAAGATAAACAGATCTGTAACAAAGTATTGCTGACTTGTGTAAAATTGTTCTGTTTTAAAGGGGGGGGGGGGGATTTTTATGGAGTCATGACCCAGGTTGTTGTTTTTTTTTGCATACCTGCACAACATTGTTAAAACATTAAAAGAACAAACATTAAATTTCTCTACAAATAGATCCATTAAAAAAAAAAAAAGGTGTGGGAGTGTGTACTTACACATTTTATGAGGTAAGGTCCATCCACTTTACCATCAATAAGATTATTCACTATGTGAAACGCTCTTTCTTCGCACTCAACACGGCTTCGAACGGTTGTCTCAAATTTCTTCAAATTTTCCATATTTTTAGTCATTCTGAAACTAACAGTAAAGGTAATTTTATACAGGAGAATACTTAGTTAGTTAGTTAGTTAGTTAGTTTAGTTAGTTAGTTAGTTAGTTAGTTAGTTAGTTAGTTAGTTAGTTAGTTAGTTAGTTAGTTAGTTAGTTAGTTAGTTAGTTAGTTGGGTTATCATCATTGCACTCCGGACATGTCCATATGTGCTCAGATCCTCCCCTCAGTATGAACCCCAACATCTGATGGCTAATAGTACCAGTTCTATGTTGATTAACAAGGAGAATACAATTTCAGAAGATGTCACTGCTTTCAATTCATTCATATTCGGTCTTATTCTTAAATGGTAATACAGGTACCTGAAAGTACTGCCTTCATCAAAGCTAGGGTGAAAAGGTATCTCAGTGGACTAGGCAGCTGGAACAAAATGAGGTGCCGATGCTAGATTACTAATTATAGCTTTTATGCCTCACAATATCTAAAATAAGATCATACTTTTGAGTTCTTTTTACATGTTCTGCCAAAAACAAACCTTGGTTGACCTTTCATTCATGACTTCTGACCTGTAACGGGGGTGTCATGTTGTGGTGTCTCAGATGCTATCATGCGGGGGTGTCATGTTGGGTGTTTTATTTTACTAGACATCACTGCTTTTAACTTCCACGCAGCATCTAGAACCAGCCCTAACCCCAACCCCCCAGCCTACGTCACCGAGAGAGTGCAGCCAATGACCCGTGGTTTCAGCAGCGACAGCACATTCAGATGATTCTTCAGACACTGATGGCAAGATGTCATATTGCTGTAGAAAAGCAACGCTGCTCTCCTTGTCGCTAGTCAACACAGACAGCTGAAGTAATTTTGTGCCATACTTGAAGTCCTAGAAAGCTATAATATACGCAATGTCACCGGCCACAACGTAGAAAGCTTCACTAAGACAATGGAACCTGACACTCCTGTAACAAAGACTAGCTCGTGTGACAGGTCAGCAAGCATGAATGAAAGGTCAACCATGCTTTGTTTGGGGCAAAAAACGTAACATGTTCCTATTTTTGTAAAGATTGTAAAAAACAAAATAGCAAATGATGATTTGTTTACTACAACTTACAATAATAATGAAAGACCCACCCACAATGGTCAGAAAGCTACTTCTTAATGTAGAGTGCCTAAAAGATAGAAACCCTCTTCAACTGTATAATACAGTTATATTACTGGGCAACCTGTTGTATGGCTACAAAGGAAGCTAACCTCCTGACCATAACTTGCAGAAGCTTATTTCAATATAACAAAAGATATCTGGTCTCAATGTCAGAACGAAGCCAAGGCTTTAATAGAGATGGGTGTTTCTATTAGACAAGCGGCCAAAGTGATCGGCTTCCATGAGTCAACGCTACAGAACAGATTAAAGACAGGCGTTGGAGCAGAAAAGCTGGGTCGATTAAAGACTGTCTTTTCCAGTGAACATGAAAAACAATGATAACGATTTCTTGCCTGCCGAGGTCACCGACCAGTATAAGGAAGAAGAGAATATGGGTGAAGATAAGGAAATATTTATTGCTCTTCAGTCTACAGAAGCTGCTACTGCTCTTGTGGAAGTTCCGGATAACATTGTGGGCCAAGGCCCTATTCTTGCCGACGATACTCTAGAAGAAGCCGACATAGAGGACATAGCTCCTCCCCATGGCATCTCAGGACCTTCTCATAGCAACAGTGGAACACAGGTTAAAAGGGCATTGCTTCTAGATACTAAGGCAAGGGCAGTGAAAAGAATTTTGTCCCCGAATAACACTTCATCAGACTGAATCAGATTTCTCCGTCCAGAACAGCAGCTCTGACTTGACCATCTTGTCATCGGGAGAAGAGGAGCTGGATTGTGCTTTAGAACTGCAACCTGGTTACTTTGCTGTGGTCAAGGTGCATGGAAAAGCAAAAAACTCTTTTAGGTTGTACGTTGTTAAAGATACTGATTGTGATGGTGAGGGATACGATGGTATCGTCTACAAGCGAGTCCCTCTAACTCAAAGGTTTACAGAAACAAGCGAAGAGTCCTATTTTGAAAAGGAAGACATTATTTTGAATCTCTCGAAGACAATTTTTAGCAGTTCAACTCAATTTAAAATTATAATCAGCTTTTCAAATGACCTCAGTGATTTTTAAATTTCTTGAATAAAGAATGATTTTACAATGATTTTTTTCAGTCTACTTTCATTAATTTTACAAATGGGGTAAAGACCTGCGGTTGCAGGTCTTTGCCCCACTGCTGGGGCAAAGACCCGCAACGCATGGATGCCCAGAAAATGCGTTTATTTTGATTATTAATAAGAACACAGACTCAGTAGCCATACACGTGGTGGGTAAGTGGCTAAACTATATCCACATGAAGTTTCATAGAATACATACGAATGGTTTTCAAGAAATGTGTTAAAAAAACATGAAACTGCGGGTCTTTGCCCCGACCTATCCTAACAATCTATTCTTCTACAGTCTGTTACAATTAACAGTATATATAATAAATTAATATTATAATATATGTAAAATAAGATTAAAAAGGTTACTGACCAGCATAAATATCTAACACTGAAATAGAACAGAAAAACTGTATACATCACAATTAAAACCAAGATAGGGCGTTTCAATTAGATAGGTTCAACAGGATACTGTTGTTCCAATTATTTATTACACACAGTATGACTAGTGACTGTTGTAAGCTGTTACTGTAGGCCTGTTTGGACTGGTTTCCAACCTAGTTTGAGTTAGTTAATCGACAGCTTATCCTCACTGCACAGTGGACAGGTCCATAAGCACTCAGAAAGTCTTTAAATGCTACCAACTCAGCCTTGTCTCCTGAATCTCTTACACGTTTTATCTCCTTCAGAGCACTGAGAATATTGACCAGGTCCATTGCTTGTGACTTGAGCAACTGTGGCCCTGCCAGTAAGTCAATCCACTCGTTTATTACGATTCCCTCTTACCCCAGAGTGCCATAGTACAAATTTTTAATGCTATGGCTCTACTGGCAAATTTGGCCGTTAAGCTGGACTGCTTCGGCCGGCTTAGCGGGGCTTAGTGGGAGTTATGTCCCTTGGCCAAACTCAAAACAAGTCGCGGAAAAAGTCACGAATCAAACGGCATACTTACCTATCATCATCTGGGTGCGTGTAGGGTTGAGTAGGGTGTCTATCATCGTCCTACGGTTGCGTGTAGGGCTGCTTATTGCGTGTAGGGTTGGTTGTTTGCGTAAGATAGATGAGGGGTAGGGTTAGGGTTTAGGGTTAGGGTTTAGGGTTAGGGTTAGGGGTTAGGGTTAGGTGTAGCGTTAGATGTTACAATTGTGACGCCGTAGTTCCCTACAATCGCGCACAGTCGCATGCACGCGCAAACAGTTGACGGACGGTGGATGCTACTGACACGGACAATTCGCCACCGCTTGGGCACCAGCAGCCCGCTATTGCCGTCATATTTGGCACACTTCCAGTGGCGCCACTCCTACAAGCATCAGATTGTCGGCCAGTATTTCCACCTCCTACGTGAATATTTTCACATCATCTAACCCTACCCCCTAACCCTACCCCTAACCCTACCCCTAACCCTACCGCTAACCCAAACCCTACGCAACCCTACACGCAACCGTATGGTGATGATGATAGACACCCTACGCATCCCTACATGCAACCGTATGATGATAATAGACACCCTATGCAGCCCTACGCACAACCGTATGATGATAGGTAACCCTAGACGCAACCCTACACGCATCCGGATGATGATAGGTAAGTATGTCATTTGATTCGTGACGTTTTCCGCGACTTGTTTTGAGTTTGGCGAAGGGACGCGAAGGGACATAACTTCCACTAAGCCCCGCTAAGCCGGCCGAAGCAGTCCAGCTTACCGGCCAAATTTGCCAGTAGAGCCATTTTTAACTGATTTCTGTCAGAAACGATTTCCTAAGTGACTCCAATCTCAAAAAAAAAAAAATCCTGTTTCAATCTTCTTATGCATGGAATAACTTCAGAAGCACTCATGGGGAAAACGCTGTGTCTCTAACCACATCATTACAATTACTGCTTTTAGTTTTGTTAGTAATCAAGTAATGTTACTACCACTACCACCATCCACTTCACAGTCAGACGTAGTTTTTAAGTCGAGGCAAAAGCACTGCTGTCTTCTCTTGCTGTTCTCCCTCGAACCAGGACCATGAGGACAGTGAAAGTCTATAAGCTTGTTACGCGTCGAACGACCGATCCATGGGTGAAAATAACTGCACAGTATCAGCAGAAGTATCGAAAACAAAGGCTTGACCAGGTCTCAAACCACTATGAATTTGGTTTTTGTCGTCTCAGCCAGGCTTTCAAATGAGTTTAGAATCGAACAGTGTTGTTAATACTATTAATAATAGAACTGTAATTTAATAGTATAGATAACTAAAATACCAGACGCTTCTGTTTTAGTCAGTTAAGTTCTATACTTACAACTTGTGTGAATACTTGACAAAAATTAAATATTTTCATCAAAGTGAAATATTAACAACTATTTTTATTTACTGAGTCGTCGTTGTAATTCAGAGTGTCGGCCCTTGGTAAATGTGAGATTTTTAAAACCATAAGTTATGTATAATTTCATCATCATCATCAGTTCTCGTTTGTCATTTGAAGCCCCACTCTGGCTTTTGCCAGGGGCCACAATATAGGCAGGCCATCAATATGGCCAATTGTCTGAACGCGGTTTCTGGGACCTCTCCACGGTGATCCTCATCCGCATAGTGGCACTTTGTGTCATCGGGTGTTTATCGCTTGTGTGATGTCCTGGTGGGGTAGAAAGTCAGTCAGTCAGTTCTCGTTATGACTAGTGGCACACGAAGCTTCAGAGAGGACTTCCATGCTTTCCTGTCCTGTGCAATCTTCAGTATTTCCATGTCAAAGATGCCGCACTCAGGTCACTTTCCATCGTTCGTCTCCATGTTGTTTTTGGGCGCCACTGTTTTCTCTTTCCCTCTGGTGTCCATGTGAGAGCTGTTTTGGCAGG